AAGGAGATTTGTTGCTGTCATATTTTCTGAAATAAATCGAATAATCTGTGTTTAAATGTATTTAAATAGTTTTTCATTACCGGTGCCTTGTGAGATCCATACAAAGAAAAATCCAGACACCTTATTCGCTTTCTCTTCATCATCCAATTGCTTTAGCAATTTGTAACCTTGAAATTGGTACCTTGTGAGCTTCCATGTTCAATAAGTTTATCCAATAGTTAACAACACGCAGCTGGCTATGAACATATATACTACAGTGTATATATATATACTTACCAAGTATTGCCTTATTTGAAGCATATTTACCAAAGAATAAAAATCGCTTAAAATACAATGTATGAAATTTTGCAATGGATCTCAAAATATTTAATGCCACATATTTCCTTGTGTATAACAAAATGGGTGACAACTTTACCATCAAATATAGAAATTGCTGTGAAACTTTTATAATAATTTATAAACAGGAAACATTGCCTTAGAAGCCTTGGAACAATTTAGTCTTGAGGTCCTAGATAAATTGAATTTGGAACCGAACGCGAAAGTACAGTTACCGTAGCTCAAGATTGGAAACAGTATGTTTATTTCCATTATATCATGACAAAATTAAACGCAAACTCTTTGTCTTAACGAAGACATTGAATGAAGCAGCAGTAATTGAGGACGGTGCTTCGAGTGGGTTTTCAATCTAAATAAAGGATAGATCGAAACAAGCACCTATACACAAACTATTGCGCTGTATATGCTCAAACATTGTCACTGTACTTTTCTCCCGTATATTTCAGTCAATGAAAGTGTGTAACGCAGCTACATCGTAAGCTAGCATAAAGTTGCCACCCTAAAGACAATGAAGCAAGCCTCGCAAGGTTTATTTCCACATCGCGCAACTCTATTATGACGTAATACCGTTCATAGTGACGCAACGGATGTGCTTCAGCACAAAAATGTATTGCCACACATACTGTGTATACTATAGTAACTGAAACTGATTTAGTATTTTGTAATCTACACCAGTACATATCATTATTTGAAAATGCCTACCGACAATGACGGAGAAGTTATTTTCTATAAATACTAACTTCCACGGAGATTATGTCATCAACTTGGCTGTTTCTATCAGATGTGGTTATTGTGATTTGAAACCTGTGACTGACCAGACAGAATCGAGAAATTTCCAAGGACGAAATCCTCCAATCGCCATTCACCGAGGAAGGCAGAACGTTGCAAATGTATCGTGCGTGGATGAAGGTCGTCTTGACATTCTCCCTCCTGATCACTTCCGATGAGTTGCAGGAGTTGGAGGTGGTTTCACGTGTTCAAACCTTCCTTGTTCCTTGCCATCAACCGTCGCAACAAAGGATTGTTAATTTAGAATCTATTTCAGTTTACATAAAGTCTGTGTGTGTTTTGCATAGGATAATGAAGCCTGATCGCGATGTCTGGTAATCCGAGGATCTCTGGTTTCAAATAAAACAAGGAATTATTTTCAAACATATTCGTAGTATGAAAGTTAAGAATTTTATTCTAGGTGTTTACGATTTTGTGCTTATTCTGTGAGTCATTGTTGTCTTACATTAAAAAGATCATTACTTCTAGATATATCAAATTCTGTTGTAGATCATGCAGGACAAATTTGATTCTATCCTGATGTCCAACATGTTAACCAACGACTCAAGTTACCGAAGAATATGATTCAAATTAAAAGTAATATAGTGACCTGGCATACTGCCAGCATGCGTCGATGTAACGTCATACCTGGAATGACTGTCCTCTAAAAGTAAGGGGTTAGTATTCAATTACACCCGACTGTTCTACATGTTGTCATATGGCAGTGTATTTTATTGTTTAACAATGATTGTAACTGTATTACAATGTTTGTGTTGTGTATAAGGAGTAGAGTTAAGACAGCGTCGGGCCAATGCGTGTTTGACAGAGCTCTACTGAATGACCACAAGCTGACGCGTTATGACAAACAAAGGTCAAAGGAGGCGCCAAGGTAACAAACGAAAAAGAGTGGTAATAGCCTGAGTAAAGTGGAGCAATGTGCGAAGAAGAAATTTGAGGAAAACTCAACCTTACAATTGGAACAAATTTAAACGATGGCAATGATCCAGGGTTTAGAGTCCAAAATATGGCAAGTCAAGTCTACAGTGGGTAATGAGATCCCGGTCACCCCTCTTACACTGTACAACCCTGTCCCACCTTGTGTAAAACCAGTAAGTGCTTCGCCGGAAACGGGATGAGCCCGGTAGGTCTTAGAATGGTTTAATCATAAGACTCCATAACATCAAACATAATGAAACTAATTGGCAGAGTTGACACACTGGAATACCAAATAAAAGTGTAGTATCAACAGGTAAATTAGAAAAGGTTGCAATTTTCAGTGAACAACGTTCAGAAGAAGTAGACAAGTGACTAGGTAAGCAAAGTTAGAAAATTGAGTTGGACTTGCCGCTAGAAAAGGTGATGAGGAGGCGGGAAATCTGATGAGTGCCTTGGTAGGGTATGGTGATTCTGATGGGCGATGGGGCAGGTTTAGGTCTGAGATCGGAGTTCTTGAGGGTCTTGCGGATGGTTTTGAAGACTAGGTGGGCAGGATAGCTGTTGAGGGCACTGAAGGTTTTCTGGCAAATGGATTTGGCACGTCGGGTGAAGGTGGCGATGATGGCTTGTTATAATGGATGTACTGTGTGTGTTGCCTTTCAATACACTCATGTTCTCACTCCGTCATCTGTTGTTTGCAGCGACACATCCAAAGGAGGGTGGTGATTGGTTTCGGTCTTCAGGGTGAAATGAATTCTCTGGTGCTGGGCGTTGATATGTTTACAGGTACACTTATATGTTCCCTGCCTCATAGCATTAATTCACCCGATGAAGGAGTAAGTGTATACTCCAAAACGTTGTGTTCCTCATTATAAAGAAGTTGACATCCATAAATTCTCTTCCTTATGTGTATCATTTCTAAATGCCTTTCAAAGACTTGTATGCCACTCGTTGCTTGTTTGTTAGTTTCACACTAAGTTCTTATACGTACAGATTTCTGGATTAACATACTGTTTCAATTTGGGAATCGACACGTAACAAAAACATTATTTCCGCAATCCAAGGCGGACTGCTATAATGTGCGTGGTGCACCACAAAGGTGTGTTTGCTCCACAAACCCAGCATTCGCAACGGTGTTGACAGCAGCTGCTCTGTGTCCGCATGAAGAGAAGATCATACGCTGTCTCTCATTCAACAAAAAGGCTAGGAACTCTAGGACGATATAGTGTAAGCAGGTTTTTTTTAAAGAGTATGGTAATGAACGTATTTAATAAGTCTAGCATCAAAATCCATTTGCCGTAAATATCTTCACATGTACAATAGCGGCAGTAGTTGCCTTCGCATTACCTCTTGCTTTGGATTTTTTAAATGTTTAAATGCTTTCATGTATTTATAGTGTCTTATTATACGAAAGGTCGTCCATTATCCAATATGGGGGACATATTTTAAATCTTATATTCAAAGCAACATTGTGTTTGTCTTGCGAGAAACAGAACAAAAGCTCGGCAAATATAGATAAAGTTTACTTATATATAACAAAAAATGATGCAAAACACATTTGCAGCACGACTTTACAACATATTCAGTTTTAGTGTTGACTGTAATACACATTCTAGTTTCACCCAACAAGTGGATCTGGGGCGTCACTTGTCTGAAATGTGAAGAACAGTATAAATACAACTTTGAGTGACTTGATGAATGGGTTAGTAAATTGTAACGGGTAGTAGCGCAGCTTCGAACATAATTTCAGTTATTTCACGGCATGTCGGCGTAATGTCTGACTGATCAAGGAATCATAATCGAGGCTAGTTGAACCCACAACCATCAGATCCCGGCACGGCTAATTGTAGAGCCTTTGAGCACATGAGCACCTTGCGTTACATGGCATAGTACACTGTGCATTAATCAGGAGGGACACTGTAACCGCCTCATATCACACTGTGAAAATGTCACGTGTATGGCTGTGGGTGCCAGGCAGTATTGATATGGATTTCTACACACTGCCATAAGCATCAAGATACCTTTCTATCACATCAGTCATCAGTGACTTAATGTCTGTGGAACGCGATTTTATTACTTGGTGACATTTTGAATCATTGATTTACGTACGCGATAATACGTTTTAGATTAAATTTCCACTCTGATTTTCCACACTGATTTCAGACTCATGCACAAACATTGTACACCAATAGCTGCAATATGTTTTGTTCCATCATTAACTGCATCACAATGTTTTAAATAGTGTATCGGGACTTCCGTATTCAGGCCCACGCGTTATTATGCTCAAGGGCCCAAAAACAGAAATAGGCCCATATACTTAAATTCGGACATTTATTTTGGAGTGAACTTCCTTAAATTATTTACTTACTCCCTTAGAAAGTGGCGATGCACTACATGAGGCAAATCTTAATGTGCATTCAACAGTACGTGCAAGTTCAGGTTCTGCATTCTATGAAGTTATTTCCGGTTTAAAGTCAAAATTCATGTTTTATATTTCCTTAGTTAAATCAACTTAACAGTTTCTGATTAGTTTCAGAAAAGGGCGCTACCTATCCAGGTAAGAAAGCGTTAGCGCTCCCACACTGAACCCTTGACTTTCGGATAAAATATTATAAATGAGAAAGGGCCATGTTCCGTAATGAGGGCCGTGGCTTAAATACGGGAAGTACCGGTACACCTGTTTATTGGACTTGCAGTGAACACTGTCGTCATTGCACCTGCTTGAGTGTTGTGTGTGACGATGTTACATAACACGCCAGCTCTTACGTCATATACAGCGCTGACCTGTCAGTATCAGTCAATAACTGATCCCGTCAGTCTCCCGCTATCGAATGTTAGCACGTCGGGTGAGGGTGGATCATGGAATTCTAAGTCTTAATAAATTTCTGAATTACAATAAAGTAATGTTTAATATAAAATAGCGATACCTATTGATATTCCAAAATAAAAATGAGTAATGGTAATATATTCACATTTCTACGTCTTCTAAAACAAATTGTAGAGCAGTCTAATGAGATGTCTTCAAGGTGTTCTTCATGGTACATCACTATACAAGCAGTAGTTGGTGCTTCTGTGTGTGCCTGGGCAGTGAACATCAGTCCCCACATCTAGAGTTATTTCTGAAGACATTTGATAGTACACTGTCTAGCTGACATATAAGACATACAAGCCAAGTCTCACTAATGGACCCTATTCTATGGGTTTGTTTAATGTTCCGGCTGAATAACACAATTAGAAATGACATACCTTTAGTGTGACGTCATCAATGGCGAGGTCGCTTCCGTAGTGATGAAGAGCCGTAGCCGACATTGCCAGCTGGAATGTGATAGAGGACCTCTTGTTTCAAACTTTCATTAAATGTTGACGTCGCTACATGATCCTCATTGTATTCGTTTATGTAAAGTGACGGCCGGTGGCAGAGCCGGAAGCCTAGGGCAATGGCAATCACAGCAAGTTGGATCGAAATCGTTCAAACACCACTTTGCTTATCTGCTTACTCAAGTTGTATCTTACCTAATCTCATCTTACCAGTCACAAAAATCAACTGGTGTGTTAAGGCAGTGTGTGATAATACCATTGCATAATTAACCCACATGAGAGCAGCATGCCCTGCACTATGTCTGCAGATGCTGGTGTGAGACTACTTACTCTGTATGTTCCCACAGACAGGGCGACATGCCCCTCTAACCAGTCTGGCGCCTGCCTCCCATCTCTTCTCCACAGTGTGGTCACGGTGCCGTCTGATGTCAGTTTCTGGACACGCAGAGATCCTATGTTGGCGCCATTCATATAATACCAAAAGGTCAAGGACGACGTTGTCTTGATGTCGAGGTCATGTGTTATGAGGTCAGCAGTCCAATTACTGTTCTCGACGTAGCGACCGTCAAGAAACATGAAGTATCCATCTACAATGTTAAATGTCTTCAAATTATTTTTTTATCTCATCGACAGGCGAGTTCAGAATGAGCTACAGATGCTGTGCTGGTGCAGCGGTTGATTGATTAGCTATAGTCAGTTATAAGTAGGCTACATTATATAGAAGTCCCTTCTGTTACGCCGGAGCTAGATTTGGTTAAATTTGACAGAAGTTTCATAAATTCTATTGTCCGTCTCAATTATCCATCCAAACATCGATAGAGCAAACATTGAGACGGTCATATCACAAATTAGAGTTACGTCCCTTAGTGCGTCGTCTGCTGCTGGTATGGTACGTGTATATGATTAAAAAAAGTTATCATGTGACAATTTTCATATCATATCCCATATTAACCCTCGACCCGCATTTCAGCCCTCTGGCTTTCGGCCCCGGGTAGATATGGGGTTTGATATGTACACTGTCATTTGAAATCTTCTAAATATTATACCCACGTGCAGTGGTATGATCGTTCGTTGGTCCAGAGACGAAGTCTGGTGTCGCCCCCGTCCATCGAGTCCAATCTATGTTGTCTCCCTTGTATTGGGACCATCCGCACATCCCAGTCTCAAACGTACACGTGATGGGCTTTGGTTCTGTGATAAACATTGAGAGTGTCACACTGTCACAGACAGATGCACCAGAAAACTACAGGAATGAGGTAGTGAAAACAACAACGCATTTTTAAAACAGATAGACATGAAAATAGACTCCGATTATAGACACAATTTGTTTACATGTGGTAATACGTTAAATCCCATTTTACCTTCACCTCACCAAGTGGTACAGGTGAAATGGGATTTAACGTCGCGTTGAAGATTGTTGCACTTATATAGCAACGTACGTGCACGTACGTGTCTGTGTGGCTGCTTGTACTAGTCCGGACTAACGCCGATTTTATAGTGCTAGCCCACTGAGATACCATGCCACAGTTTACATAAATACCCCAGTCAAGTATACTGACTACGAGCCGACCAGTTCTTGTTTTAGCCCCTTAATGCCGAGCGCCAGGCAGTGAGTACCATCTTTTAACGTCTTCTGGTATGACGCGGCCGGGGATCGAAAACCGGACCGTCCGTTCTCCGGGCGGACGCTCTACCATTAGACCATGCGGTCTCACTTGGTACAACTATGTAATGGAATATAACCCTGTGGGATTCCTGGTTAAAATTGGTCCCCAGCAAACTAAGTTGGTTGTGACAGGCAACTTAGTGGATCGGGTGATCAGGGTCAGTGAATTGGTTGATTGTCACAGTACCCCGACTGCGTGGGACGTTACTCATTATAATATCAATCACAGGATCATCTGTTCTAGACTCGACTATACACAGGCCACAGTCACATAGCAGGCTGTGGTGTTTTTGCCTGGGTTTCAAACTGAACTTTGCAGAGTGATCGCACTGAAGAAAGGTACTGGAGTAACATCCTTATCATTTCACACCTCAGCACTTCGACCAGTTTGCATTGACGAAATAAATCACCCACATCAAGCATATGTTGTGGTTGAGTTGTCTGCCGCATAGTGTATGATGTCCCTTTCTTGTCCTGTAGGTAGCCCTACCATGAATGTGGCAATATGCCCCAAAGTGCAGAACATCGACTAATTAAGTGCCGTGTTCCGCGCGGAAGGGCAACGATGTTTTGTTCGGGAAAGGATGCGATAAATCGATTTTCATATAACATCTAAGAGTGACTTTGGAAATGTTATAGTCCAATACAGTATCAATTTGCTGCAAATTCGAGGCCGCATGACCAAAGTTTGAAGAAGATATAAATTAGAGGTAAAATGGTCTACAAGAAACCACTAGCTCCACTTTTTCATTGTATTAACACATAAATGATCATATGTTAGGAAAAGAAGGTTATGTTTCCCATAACATGCTGAACGCAGAATGATATCCGATGATATTAGGGGTGATGCTAAACTTTCTGTCTGATCGATATACTGACATTTTTTTATGCAAGAAGCGTCACCGTTGATAAGATTGGTACTTTCAAGATTTATTTCTAAAGCTTCTGCTTTAGACGTGACTTTCGTGAGTTTAACAAAAAACCTGTTGTTGGTGGTGTTGGTGTTGTTGTTGTCGGCGTTGGTGTAGTTGTCATGGGGAAGACTGAAACAACCAAACAACATGTTGAAAACTAATGGGAACGTGTTCACTTGTAACGCACGTTACGAGGGAGTAATTATTAATCTAACACGGTCGTGTCATCTGGTGTATTAATTGTAGGCGATTCGTTTGTAACTATTTGGTTTAAGATTCCTCGGACTCAAAATTTGGTAACTGGAATGAATTCAAAGTTTCGAAAACGGTAATTTTGGAAACTGATATAAACCTTTGACTTATAGTCAACACACATTTTCTTCTATTTAACCTTTTCTTTACTTCTTTACTGACCGACCATGGTTTTTTTAAGCTATCCTTCTTAAAAAGGAATAGGTTATTAAAAAATTGTATGACATTTTTATTCTTCTACGATTCGTAATGATAAAATGTTGCCTTGTCATTCACGGTAATGTGTAATTTGACCTCTGCTTTGGGATTTTCCGGTAGGCTCACCGAGATTAAATTATTACATGCTCACTATTGCCGGTTGTGGGTGACAGAATGCGTTAGTCTAAACCAGCAAGTAATGCTTGCGATTTTGTACCTACGCTGATTCTTACCTTCAAACACAGAGGCTATGATGTCGTCGATCGCAATGTCGCTACCGTAGTGCAGCTTGGTCGTTGCTTCAATGACGATCTTATACAGGAAAAGCACACAGCCGTATAAGCATATTAATAGTAGTAATAACATTTCATCGTGACACGCGAATTACAAATAAGCAAAATGGTATATAAAAAAAATAGAAGTTCTTACAAAGACAATATTATACTCATCACCCTAAACGTGCCGGGCAGTATGTTGACATGAGCCTGATGCCATTCGGGTCCCTGTCTGCCACTGGCGGAAAACAGTTCCGTAGTGGAGTGGTCCAGCCCAAGTCGGAGCACCTTCAGTGTGCCAATGCCGGCACCATTCATGTGGTACCAGAAGGTCATGTTGGAGGGGATGTAGGCCTCTATGAAGGGGGTGGTCAGGCGGGTGTACTCCCCAGGGTGGCTGGAGTCTGCTCCACGCATGTACACGTAGTAGCCATCTGGACGTGTGGAATAGGTAGGATTTGTCCTTCATATGAAGTACACTGTCCAAAGTGTCTTTAATATAGTTTTTTGTTGGGTTGTTGGTTGTTTAACGCTACAGTATGCCAGCTATAAGATTGCGGTCTGCTATAAGAAGGCCGTCTAGACAAGGCAACCTTGTGACTGCCGTCGTGAGCATCGACACACGCCACTGGGATGAATTACACTAACAAAGCTGGGGACCTATATTCTTACCCGGAATTCTTTCCCGGGTCGTATAATACAGTTAATATTAATGAAGGTCTCACAGCATATAACTACACAGTGGTTAAGCTAAACACTGGCTGCAATGGTAAACTACATATCAACTATGTCACTTATATATTTTACATCAATATACATAACATTAAACTTTATATTTCAGTAAACATTAAAGCGTTAACATGTACACAAAAGGTTTGCCACGGGAAAACGGCGAATAATTTACGAGTTTATCAGTAAAGTTATATTAATGTAATACTCACTTCCGGTTGTGTGGTCACCTGAAGGCCCGGATGAACGGTCATCAGACAAACCCTTGTTTCTCCTCCAATCATAATTGTCCAGGCTGTCTTGCTTCCAAACACACCAATCCTTCTCGAATGCACAAGAGAGGTCTAGTGTGGCTTCAGAGAAAGAAGGATTTCGTTAGATTAGATGTGATGTCTGTCTTGTCTGTGCATTCATTGTAACGTTTGCGGTACGACAAAGTTTTAAGTGCACAACTTACGTCTAGGTGTTGTTGAAAGTGTGGTGGTTGGTGCTGTGGTCGTAGTCGTAGTTGTTGTTGTAGTGGTGGGTCTTGTGATACCGGTCACCTCTGTAAAACAAGTATGAATTCTTGCAAAACTAGGGTTTCCGCGGGTACATGGAACGAGTACAAGATCTCCAAGCAATAGTCAACGTTAAGACCAGGGCTCCGTTGCACGAAACGCCTTTTAATCAATCCGTTTCCCTTGTACTGACTTTCGAAATTCGTTACACTAATATCGCTTTTTTTTGGAAGAGAGGTCTTATCTTAAGGTTGTTTCTGTGAAGCTCCTGGCGACTGTTGAATGAGATGCAATAAACCAACTTTTGCATTAAGGAAATGTGTAAGAGTAAATTGTGAACTGCGTTAATGAGATCAATGAATGATGCAAATCACTGAAATATGTTCGCTGTTGGTAATGCCGAATATCCTCAGATGAGAACAGGCTGTCTACTAAATATTTGCCGTTATTGTGACACATACATCTATTATTTGCAAAAAGGTCAATGGCAAATGTCTTATACGGGATATCATTTTCGAAAATAATTTAGAAACGTGTAGTGTACATGAAATTGAAGACCGAATTTCCACCAGTGTTCGTGTTATACAGCGCGGACATGCCCTTATATAAACATATGAAGTGCTCGATCACCTGCAGGTTCGTGAGTGACGTCAATGTCGTCAACAGCGATGTCGCTGCCAACGTGTAGCAGCGCTGTTGCATCCAACTCAACCTGAAAATAATTAGAATATATCATATTTCAAATCAAATTTCGACATCGACAGTTTTAAACTACTCCATTAAGTATTCTGATACTGGTTCTTATTTTATCGTTTGCTGTACACCAGCCAACTGTCATACTAGTGGTGTACGTTATTGTATCACGTTACCAATGACAGGTCTTAACAGCTGTTCTCAACGTTTTATATATATATAAACAATGGGGGATCATGACATATGAATAATACGATCGATCGTCGGAAGAATGATCAGCTTTCAAAAATTACTGCCAGAACGGTTTCGGAACCACATCCCCACACCCCAACTTGCCCGAAACATAGCACGTGGACCATGCAAGCCCCTGCTTTTGGGTAGAGGGTCATTCTTCATTTTGACACTTCACTGAATGGTCGTCAAATGGCTCTGAGCGATTTGTATTGTTGATTTCCATTATCTACAGTAACGCGTCAGCTCTCTAGCTCTCTATTTGTGATCAGATTGGGAATGCTTTAAAATGGTAGAAATCAACGATGGTGTGTGAGTATTCCAGTTATATGACGACGTGTCAGCATCATGTAGGATTTTTCCAGTTATATAACGGCGTGTCAGCATAATGTGGGAGTATTCCAGTTATATGACGACATGTCAGCATGATGTGGGAGTATTCCAGTTATATGACGATGTGTCAGCATGATGTGGGAGTATTCCAGTTATATGACGACGTGTCAGCATGATGTGGGAGTATTCCAGTTATATGACGACATGTCAGCATGATGTGGGAGTATTCCAGTTATATGACGACGTGTCAGCATGATGTGGGTGTATTCCAGTTATATGACGACGTGTCAGCATGATGAGGGAGTATTCCAGTTATATAACGACATATCAGCATGATGTGGGACTATTCCAGTTATATGACGACGTGTCAGCATGATGAGGGAGTATTCCAGTTATATAACGACATATCAGCATGATGTGGGAGTATTCCAGTTATATGACGACGTGTCAGCTTGATGTGGGAGTATTCCAGTTATTTGACGACGTGTCAGCATGATCTAGGATTATTCCAGTTATATGACGACATGTCAGCATGATGTAGGATTATTCCAGTTATATAACGACGTGTCAGCATGATGTGTGAGTATTCCAGTTATATGACGACGTGTCAGCATGATGTGGGAGTATTCCAGTTATATGACGACATGTCAGCATGATGTGGGAGTATTCCAGTTATATGACGACATGTCAGCAAGATGTGTGAGTATTCCAGTTATATGACGATGTGTCAGCATGATGTGTGAGTATTCCAGTTATATGACGACATGTCAGCAAGATGTGGGAGTATTCCAGTTATATGACGATGTGTCAGCATGATGTGGGAGTATTCCAGTTATATGACGACGTGTCAGCATGATGTGGGAGTATTCCAGTTATATGACGACATGTCAGCATGATGTGGGAATATTCCAGTTATATGACGACGTGTCAGCATGATGTGGGAGTATTCCAGTTATATGACGACGTGTCAGCATGATGTGGGAGTATTCCAGTTATATAACGACATATCAGCATGATGTGGGACTATTCCAGTTATATGACGACGTGTCAGCATGATGTAGGAGTATTCCAGTTATATGACGACATGTCAGCATGATGTAGGATTATTCCAGTTATATAACGACGTGTCAGCATGATGTGTGAGTATTCCAGGTATATGACGATGTGTCAACATGATGTGGGAGTATTCCAGTTATATGACGACGTGTCAGCATGATGTAGGATTATTCCAGTTATATGACGACGTGTCAGCATGATGTATGAGTATTCCAGTTATATGACGATGTGTCAGCATGATGTGGGCGTATTCAAGTTATATGACGACGTGTCAGCATGATGTGGGAGTATTCCAGTTATATGACCACGTGTCAGCATGATGTGGGCGTATTCCAGTTATATGACGATGTGTCAGCGTGATGTGGGCGTATTCCAGTTATATGACGATGTGTCAGCATGATGAAGGATTATTCCAGTTATATGACGACGTGTCAGCATGATGTGTGAGTATTCCAGTTATATGACGATGTGTCAGCATGATTTAGGATTATTCCTGTTATATGACGACGTGTCAGCATGATGTGTGAGTATTCCAGTTATATGACGGCGTGTCAGCATGATGTGGGATTATTCCAGTTATATGACGGCGTGTCAGCATGATGTAGGATTATTCCAGTTATATGACGGCGTGTCAGCATGATATGTGAGTATTCCAGTTATATGACGACGTGTCAGCATGATGTGTGAGTATTCCAGTTATATGACGATGTGTCAGCATGATGTGTGAGTATTCCAGTTATATGACGACGTGTCAGCATGATGTATGAGTATTCCAGTTATATGGCGGCGTGTCAATTTGATGTATGAGTATTCCAGTTATATGACGATGTGTCAGCCTGATGTATGAGTATTTCAGTTATATGACGACGTGTCAGCATGATGTGGGAGTATTCCAATTATATGACGATGTGTCCGCCTGATGTATGAGTATTTCAGTTATATGGCGGTGTATCAGCATGATGTGGGAGTATTCCAGTTATATGACGATGTGTCAACATGATGTGGGAGTATTCAAGTTATATGACGACGTGTCAGCATGATGTGTGAGTATTCAAGTAATATGACGACGTGTCAGCATGATGTAGGATTATTCCAGTTATATGACGATGTGTCAGCATGATGTAGGATTATTCCAGTTATATGACGACGTGTCAGCATGATTTGTGAGTATTCCAGTTATATGACGACGTGTCAGCATGATGTATGAGTATTCCAGTTATATGGCGGCGTGTCAGCATGATGTGTGAGTATTCGAGTTATATCACGATATGTCAGCATGATGTATGAGTATTTCAGTTATATGACTATGTGTCAGCATGATGTGGGAGTATTCCAGTTATATGACGATGTGTCAGCATGATGTGGGAGTATTCAAGTTATATGGCGACGTGTCAGCATGATGTAGGATTATTCCAGTTATATGACGACGTGTCAGCATGATGTAGGATTATTCCAGTTATATGACCACGTGTCAGCATGATGTGTGAGTATTCCAGTTATATGACGACGTGTCAGCATGATGTATGAGTATTCCAGTTATATGGCGGGTTGTCAGCATGATGTATGAGTATTCCAGTTATATGGCGGCATGTCAGCACGATGTGTGAGTATTCCAGTTATATGACGATCTGTCAGCATGATGTGGGAGTATTCCAGTTATATGGCGGCGTGTCAATTTGATGTATGAGTATTCCAATTATATGACGATGTGTCAGCCTGATGTATGAGCATTCAAGTTATATGACGACGTGTCAGCATGATGTGTGAGTATTCCAGTTATATGGCGGCGTGTCAATTTGATGTATGAGTATTCTAGTTATATGACGACAGGTCAGCATGATGTGGGAGTATTCCAGTTATATGACGACGTTTCAGCATGATGTGGGAGTATTCAAGTTATATGTCGACGTGTCAATTTGGTGTATGAGTATTCCAGTTATATGGCGGCGTGTCAATTTGATGTATGAGTATTCCAGTTATATGACGACGTGTCAGCATGATGTGTGAGTATTCCGGTTAGATGTCGGCGTGTCAGCATGATGTGTGAGTATTCCAGTTATATGACGATGTGTCAGCATGATGTATGAGTATTCCAGTTATATAACGATGTGTCAGCATGATGTGGGAGTATTCCAGTTATATGATAACGTGTCAGCATGATGTAGGATTATTCCAGTTATATGACGATGTGTCAACATGATGTGGGAGTATTCCAGTTATATGACGATGTGTCAGCATGATGTGTGAGTATTCCAGTTATATGACGATGTGTCAGCATGATGTAGGATTATTCCAGTTATATGACGGCGTGTCAGCATGATGTGGGATTATTCCAGTTATATGACGGCGTGTCAGCATGATGTAGGATTATTCCAGTTATATGACGATGTGTCAGCATGATGTGTGAGTATTCCAGTTATATGACGATGTGTCAACATGATGTGGGAGTATTCCAGTTATATGACGACGTGTCAGCATGATGTGTGAGTATTCCAGTTATATGACGACGTGTCAGCATGATGTATGAGTATTCCAGTTATATGTCGGCGTGTCAATTTGATGTATGAGTATTCCAGTTATATGACGACGTGTCAGCCTGATGTATGAGTATTTCAGTTAGATGGCGGCGTGTCAGCATGATGTTGGTGTATTCCAGTTATATGGCGGCGTGTCAGCATGATGTGTGAGTATTCCAGTTATATGACGACGTGTCAGCCTGATGTATGAGTATTTCAGTTATATGACGGCGTGTCAGCATGATGTATGAGTATTCCAGTTATATGACGATGTGTCAACATGATGTGTGAGTATTCCAGTTATATGACGATGTGTCAACATGATGTGGGAGTATTCCAGTTATATGACGACGTGTCAGCATGATGTGGGAGTATTCAAGTAACATGACGACGTGTCAGCATGATGTAGGATTATTCCAGTTATATGACGATATGTCAGCATGATGTAGGATTATTCCAGTTATATGACGACGTGTCGGCATGATGTGTGAGTATTCCAGTTATATGACGACGTGTCAGCATGATGTGTGAGTATTCCAGTTATATGTCGGCGTGTCAGCATGATGTGTGAGTATTCCAGTTATATGACGATGTGTCAGCATGATGTATGAGTATTTCAGTTAGATGACTATGTGTCAGCATGATGTGGGAGTATTCCAGTTATATGACGATGTGTCAGCATGATGTGGGAGTATTCCAGTTATATGGCGACGTGTCAGCATGATGTAGGATTATTCCAGTTATATGACTATGTGTCAGCATGATGTAGGATTATTCCAGTTATATGACGACGTGTCAGCATGATGTGGGAGTATTCCAATTATATGACGATGTGTCAGCCTGATGTATGAGTATTTCAGTTATATGACGACGTGTCAGCATG